TTCTGTAATTGTATAACAGCATCCATATGTTCCACACCTATGTAAACAGGGTCTACTTGCAAATTTGTAATTTTGATAGACAATACATTGACAGACACACAATTACTTGTTTCGTATTATCTGTATATATACAGATATATATATATATATATGTGTGTGTGTGTGTGTGTGTGTGTGTGTGTGTGTGGTTTTTGGAAGGGGAATTCATAAAGTATGGTTATTTATAGTTGAGAAAACATTTTTACTTTGAATTTTTATAAACTTTTTGTTTTCGGTTTTCATAAGTAATTATTCAATAATATACATAGATTGATGGTGAGAAAAGACAAAAATTGAATATGGGATGACAAAGTTTTTATGATAAGAGGATGTATCGAGTGTGTTCTCTTTTATCAACTGGGTTTGCTCTTTTCATAACACAGTGAATCTGCTGCTAGCCCATTAGGGTCAATTTTGATATATTAACCTTTTTGTTCTCTCTACTTCCAGCATTACCACATGTACCTATATTGTCCGGCAGCTGTTTCTGTTGACATCCCAAGATCCACTCTATGTTGTTCTACTAAGAAGTGGTAGTAGGTAAGCCAAATTTCAGTAAAGCTGTTTTGCTGTATTTATCAAATGCTGTATAAAGTACTTAACTGGTTTGCTTGGAATGGAGACTAAGTGCAGTCGAGAAAAATTTTAGTTGAAATTTGAAACTACAGGATACAAACTTTGGTGTGCGTGAGTGTACAAGGACAAAAATGGGGTGAGAATAGTTGTTAAGTTTATTCGGGGTTGATAATCAAGATTGTAAGCGGGAGAGGTGATGACCAAAATAGTTGGACAATGATATTGGAAATATGTGGATTAAAGTCTGATTAATGGGATACAAAAGAATCAAGTCTCAATTAGAGAAATTGTTAAGCTTTCTTTGCGTTTGAACTGGTGAGCTTTGTTCTTCTAGCTGGAAGAATCTTAACTGCAGCCACTGGTAGCTTAATGAAACAGAAAAAAGCAATCTGATTTGCTTTTTTTCTTTCTGTTTCTATTCCAGGATTGTTTTTCTCGTACTTGTATATAAACCGGCCATGGATTTACCCAAGAAATCTAGATAATTTTGAGGTGGAGGAAACAGGTTGGCATTTGGCAAGTAGGTGGGACAGAGAGAAGTCTAAATTTCGTGTAGATTTTGAAATGAGTAGATTTATGAAATATACAAGTTGTCTGAAATCTAGTTTTAGGTCCGAAAAAGTTACGACCTCTCTGGGATCAAGCTAAAATAAAAGGTAGAGACTTGGAGTTTGTAAAGCATGTTTAGCGTGAGGATTAAACACTTAAACTGTGATTTGAAGTTTGTTTGTTGTTTGCTGTAGGGCAGAAAGCAGAAGTGACGGAGCTTTGATCTGATGAGACACTGTAAAATTTGAGGTTGATGTGCAATTCAAGACCTGTATAGCGCGTTTCTGTGTTGCATATTTTGAAGACGGAATTCTAAGAGTGCAGAGTGCATATAGTCATATAGAAAAGGCCACTTGAGCAGTCTGTAAATTTCGGAATTAATGTTATGATTCATAAAAAGTACCTTCTAAATTTCCAAAACAGAAAATACCTCTCGGAATGGGAGCAAACATGTTCATGTGTAAACTAATGTTTGTTATATATGATGCAGAATATGTTATCGTTAAAAATAATTATCGTTGAGTATTGCTTCATGTTGTAGAAGACTATTTATTTCACTGCAAATCTTCTCAACTGATCAAACTTTGTTTTCGATCGATTGTTCATTGACTGACGTGTAGAGCATTGTACTAAAACTGTTCTCGGTCTGATCTTGTTCTTCGATCTGTTGAATGATGTTGTTTGGTTGCCTATTGCATTAGACAATTTGGATGCAAATTGCAAGGGATGGTCCTTTTAAGGTCAATCCATCAAGTGACAAGACAACCAAACTGTCAATTGATTGACACTAGAACTAATGGTCGTACCCAGTGCACAAGGCTTCCTCTTTACACTAGAACTAATGGTGAACTGTCTAATGCGATACTGAACCAAACAGCATTATTCGATCAATTGCAGAAAAAGTTCCGTTTGGTCAAACATTTTCTGTATGATGCTGAGAAGCTAGTCAATGAAGGATCAATCGAGTACAAGGTTCGAGCAGTCGAGAAGCAACTTGGTTAGACAAAATCAACAAAATGTAGCAATGTAATATTGACATGAATATTCACACTCGAGTCAAACTTTGTGTCATTTACTAGGAAAAAAAAAATAAGAATGAATGGGTTATCATGAGTTCAAATCATCTCCGGATCTCACTGTTCGGAGCTTAAGGACCAAGAAATTTAGACTACTCAAGTTGAATCTTGCGGTCTCCATTAGTCATTTCCACCGGCTCATCTCACACAAAACGAAGGCCCATATCTCTCTCTCTCTCTCTCGAATGGTTTGGATTTTTTAGTCCTTGGGCTCTCTAGACAGTGAGATCCGAAGAGGATCTCAACTCGGTCTTATCACATATGTTCTTTACCGTTAGTGTTAGCCGTGATAAGACTCTTGACAAGCAAATATGAGCAATGGTAGAATAGTATTTGGTGTGATATAAAGCAAAGAATCTTATCTAGAATATATTTGATCTAAAGTAAAGTATAGTTGATTGAGGAGATTCCTCCTTATCATGTGTAAGTAATGAACAAAACATGAAGATGCCTTCTGTCCCCTGATAATTCTAGAAAAGTTCTGGGAAAGTTCCTCCCAGGCCTATAAATATTTGTGTGTGTATCCTTTGTAATACTCAGACTTGATTTCAACCACCACAATCTTGTAACTTAACTTCGATTGGTTTCACTCTAGATCTAATTCTGTCTATGATTTTGAAGATTGAACAGACAGTTTCCCTAAACTCTAAACCCTTCACAGTGAACTTTTCATTAGACATAAAGTTCCCCCATTTTATACCGATTTGGTTTTCAGGTCACACTAAGCATCTTTGCGTTAGATATTTGTTTATTAAGGCTAATGAGAACATGATACTTGAATTGCATTCACATAGTTGGAAAGGGATCCATTTCACCTGAGCCAACTGAGCACGAAATTCGGGTCTTTGAAATTTGATCAAACTGTTAAAAACAGGAGCCCCCATTAAAAGTTATAATACTTTAACCGTTAGATCAAATTTCAAGGGCCCATATTTTTTGCTCAGTTGGCTCAAGTGGAAGGGATCTGGAGAGGATCCCTTTCCCACATAGTTGTTGCTGCTAGCACCACCAAATCCTAGATTAATGGATTGGCGTTAGTCCTAATTAAGTTGTCATATGTAGGTAATTAGACTACCAGACAACGGAATTCCACACCTTTTAATAAAGATAAGGACCACCAATACAACAAAAAATTCCACATCTATTAGAGAGAGGTTCCAATGTGGTCTACCAAATGTAGTTGTCATAACATTTTAATCGTTTTCTGTGTCATCATATAATTTTGCCGTGTTGTGTTTTTTACGTAGTTAAAATTTATTATATTTTTCTGGGACTTTTTTTAGCAAGGAAAAACACTAAGTAGAAAAGCCTTTTGGGTGACCAGTACAAGAAACGTCAAGGTAAAGCGCCTGCTTGACGCAATCCAGGACGTAATTGGTTCAAGGGTAATTACACAAAGATTACCTCAAGTATAGATCAATCTGCAATCTCATACCTCATGTATGTAATATCTCAATTTATTAATTCTTTACAATGTCATACATCCGTTAAAGTTCTATCAATTTAAATGTTAACTACTGACGTGGTAGGCAGCCAGGCAGCCCAGCCCACTCACTCATCCAACCGGATTGATAAATTAATTAAATATTAAAAGATAAGAATTTTTTGGTAATAATAAAATTAAAATAATGAAGAGGTCTCTCAACCAAGCACCCCTTCCCATCACCATCATGCATTCTTCTTCTCCCACACCAGACGCCACCCTCACCTTCATAACTTCGGCAAAGTCTCCTTCATCTCCGGCCATTGGATTATGCCCGCTACTTGCCACATCAGCAGTTAATAGCTAAATTAACAAAAAAATTAATGGAGGTCTGACATTGCAACGAATTAATAAGTTGAGATATGACATTCAATATTTAAAATATGATGTATGAGATTGTAGTTCAACCCATAATTGAAGTAGTTTTGTGTAATTTACTCATAATTCAAATACAAATTGAATCAAGTTGTTGTACACAAGTAACGAGAGCATTAGCAGAAAAATTGGCTTCTCTAATAACATGTAGAAAAGAAATAGCAAAAAACAATCCAGTAAGGACTAGCAACTTCTCCACGGCACATGAAAATCTCCAGCTAAGCATTTGCTGATGATTTGGGAATCTCCTTTTACCAGCAACTTCAGAATCCCATCACGAGTTAAATCTAATTTCAATTTTTTTAAATTTAAAAATCAAAACTCCAATTACACAAAAGTTAGGGACATTGCTGTAATTGTATTTATTGAATTTGAACTAGTGGAAAGAGATCCTCTCCGGATCTCTTCTACCAAAGCCATCGGATCCAAATGATCCGGACCTTCTGTTTTGACTCCTTAAAAATTGTGAAATTTTTTAGCCGTTGGATAAAATTTGAAAGGTTCAGATCATTTGATCAGGTGGTCTTGATGGAAGAGATTCGGAGATGATCTCTTTCCCAATTCACACAGTTGTATATTGGGCATTGACCAACCAATTATCCATGATTCTTTTTTTTTTTTTTTTTGTCAGCGCCAATATTTTCCATGATGAAATATACAAAAAGGCACCTTCGGAAAATTAAAGAGACGTGTCCAAAAGCCCTGGCCAACCGTAACCAAAAAAGTGGGCCAGCACCAACTGCCGTAAAGCAAATAAAAAGCGCGACCGCATCTCACATAGAATGCCACGTCATCTCCCGCACGCGCGCTTTCCCTACCTTAATCGTTACGAACTCCCAGCGCACCGCTTCGATTCACTCTCTCTCCGTATATATACCACTCTTCGTCTCTGCTTTCCGCTCCCTCTCACTCCTCTCTCGCCCTTTCCTCCAGAGAAGAAGAACAAAAATTAAAAATTAAAAAAAATCCCCCGAAAATAAAATCTCGGTTTCATTTTTTCCCAAAAAATAAAATTCATTCCATTTATAGAGCAACTGAAACCCTACTCATCACTCTAAATACAAAGAATTCTCCGCGAACCCTAAACTTATCCCTAATTTCCCATTTTTTCCCTATTTATTTGATTATTTATTCGATTTTCTTCTGCAATGGCGGCGGCGGTATCGGGTCCGGTGGCTCAACCAGTGTCTCCGGCGGCTCAACAGGCGCCGCCGGTTGCGGCTCCGTCGGTTTTCGGGAACGTGTCGCTGTACGTGGGCGATCTGGACCCGAGTGTGAACGAAGCGCAGCTGTACGATCTGTTCAACCAAATGGGGCAGATCGTTTCGATTCGGGTCTGTCGGGATCAGAGCCGAATGCAATCCCTCGGCTATGCCTACGTTAATTACGGCGATCCTCAGCACGGTCCGTACTTTTCGCATTCTCGTAATCTGTCTCTGCGTTTGCCTGTTTGATTCAACACACAATGTCTGTCTTCTGTTTTTGTAATTTTGTAATTTTGTAATTTTGTTGTTTTTGTGTTCCGTGAATCTCATTGTTTACTAATTCGATTTTTGTTTCTGTTATTGTTGTCTTGTCGGATTTTGTTTCGTTTGTATAATAAAATGATATTTGTTTTGCGAATTTGTTGGAAGATTCTGCGATCGCATTGTTTATTGTCTGTGTTTGTCATTAAAAAATGCAAACAGATTGTTTAATCTTTTGTTTGTGTTTTGTGGATGAAGTTGTAGACTTGCATAGGATAAAATAAACTACTTAATATTTTTTTACCCCGCCATCGCCGTCATTTGGAAAAAAGTAATTTTTTTTTAACTAGGAATTGATTTCTGTAATTTTCTGCCGTGTAACTTGCAGCTGCTAATGCCCTGGAGGTTTTGAATTTTACTCCGATCAATGGGAAACCCATCAGGATTATGTACTCTCATCGTGATCCAAGCATTCGGAAGAGCGGAAAGGCCAATGTGTTCATTAAGAACCTGGACAAAAGTATTGATCATAAGGCGTTGTTGGACACTTTTTCAACCTTTGGCAACGTACTTTCTTGCAAGGTTGCACTTGATGGCAACGGTCAATCGAAAGGGTATGGGTTCGTACAGTATGACAATGAGGAATCTGCGCAGGAGGCGATCAAGAAGCTGAACAAAATGCTGATAAATGGAAAACTGGTTTATGTTGGACTGTTTCAACGAGGCCAGGAAAGGAATGGGCAAAATGGATCACCACATTTCACTAATGTTTATGTGAAGAATTTGTCAGAGACGACGACAGATGAAGACCTTAAGAAAACTTTTGGTGAGCATGGTAACATTACCAGTGCGGTTGTTATGAGGGATGGTTCTGGAAAGTCAAGATGTTTTGGTTTTGTTAACTTTGAGAAGCCAGAAGAAGCTGCTGCTGCAATTGAGAAGTTGAATGGGAGCACCGTTAGTGGTGACAAGGTTTTGTTTGTCGGGAGGGCTCAAAGGAAATCTGAGAGGGAGGCGGAGTTGAGAGCTAAGTTTGAACAGGAAAGGCTCAGTAGATTTGAGAAGCTACAAGGTGCTAATTTATATCTCAAAAATCTTGATGACACAGTAAATGATGAAAAACTAAAGGAGCTATTTTCTGAATTTGGAACAATAACATCGTGCAAGGTATATCTTATTTCAACTGTACTACTGGTTTGTCTTTCCTGTTTATGTCTCCTTTGTAGGTCCTTTTCGAAAGGTTAGCTTTACTTATAATTCCGAAGCTCTCCTAAAAAGTAATATATTAAAAAAAAAACAATGTTAATTTTCTTTATTTTCAAGGTCATGCTTGATCACCAAGGGGTGAGCAAGGGTTCTGGATTTGTTGCATTTTCTACTCCGGAAGAAGCCAATAAAGCCGTAAGCTTTTTATTATATGCTGAATTCTTGGCACATCCTGCAATTCACCTTTTGTCTCTCCCCCCCCAAAAAACAGTTTTTGTGTTAGTAACTTCCCTTTTTCTCTTCTTCAGTTGGCCGAGATGAGTGGCAAGATGATTGGACGGAAGCCTTTGTATGTTGCCGTGGCCCAACGCAAAGAAGAGCGCAAGGCTCGATTACAGGTAGTTTTCTTCATTGCATCCTCCTTTTGTCGTTTCGGAATCTTTAATTTCTTGTAATGTAGAATTGTAGGTTCTCATTTGAGGATAAGAATTATATAGGCATCTTATGAAACCAATTATTACTAAATGGATCTAGACGGTGTGCTCGCTTTGATTTCATTTTTCAGTGTTGTAATTTTACATGCCTCTGATACCTCTGATATATGGCATTTCTCTGCATTTATGATAGAAAGGATCTGCATAGGGCTCGTCATACTCAACTTTAGGAGAGGGGCTCTGCTTAAGCATTTTGAGTCTGATTGTATTTTACATTAAAGTTTACAAAGTTGGTTTTCTTTTCTAAAGCTGATTAACTCCAATGTAAGGGGCGGAGTACAAACTTTACTATCTTATTTTTAGCTTTTTTCATCAGTTCTTGAATTTTTTTTATATATAATCTGAGCATCAACTTTCATTTTCTATTAGCTTTGGTGATCCCAGATATTGGTTAGTCTGCACAGATTCTTTTTTTATTTTTCTTCTCGTGATAAACGGAAGCTTCAGTTGTCAATCATATCCACATATCCATTATTCCAACCTTTATCATTTTTTTCAGGCACGTTTTGCCCAAATCCGAGCACCAGGTGGGATGTCACCATTGCCATCGGGAATTCCTGCATATCATCCTGGGGCACCTAGACTTGCCCCGCAACAACTGTATTTTGGTCAAGGTTCTGGCATTCTACCCCATCAGCCTGCTGGTTATGGCTTCCAGCAGCAGCTAGTGCCTGGCATGCGCCCGGGTAACTTCATTATGCCATACCACCTTCAGAGGCAAGGTCAACCTGGGCAGCGGATGGGTGTACGGCGAAGTGGGAACTTCCAACATGTGCAGCAGCAGCAGGTGCAATAGTTTCCTGATTTGGCATAGCAGTTTTCTTTTCATTTACTCAAAATTTCGATACCACTAATTGGTTGTGTAATTTAATTATCGATCATGATGCATTATATTACTACATCACCTGCTCAATAGTCACTATTGTCAGTTTTTTCTTTCACCTTTGATAATTTCTTACTCATCCATAATTTCAGTTACTGCACCGTAATTCCAATCAAGGCTTGAGATACATGGGCAATGCACGGAATGGAGTGGACCCATCTTTGGCTCCTCAAGGTCTTGTGGGTCCAATGATGCCTTTGCCACTTGACGGTGCAGGGCTGCCTGTGTCTCCTAATGATATCCATCGTTCTGGGCCGTTGCCAACGTCAACACTTGCTTCAGCTTTAGCTTCTGCTACCCCAGAGAATCAGCGTTTGGTATGTTCTTTAACCCTCTTGTTATTACTCCTTCAACTTGTGTTGCGTTTGGTGCCATCTTTGTTTTTGTTCTAGACTTGCTAATTATTATTGTGTTTGAAAATTGCAGATGCTGGGTGAACAACTATATCCACTTGTTGAGCGGATTGAGCCTGAACACACGGCTAAGGTGACAGGGATGTTGCTAGAGATGGACCAGACGGAAGTTCTCCATCTGATCGAGTCTCCAGATGCCTTGAAGAACAAGGTAGCTGAGGCAATGGATGTTCTGCGTACAGCTGCAACGAAGTCTGACGTTACTGATCAGCTTGGTGCATTGGATCTGAATGAGTGAATCTCCCTCCATTGCATTTTTGGGTACTAAGGCCAAGTTAACTTTGCATTGGTAGTCGGATATTTTTTTTCAGAAGAGTATTGATAGGTATCTGGTTTATTTTGCGGGATTTACGCATGGCAACTCAAATGCTTAATTTTTTTAGGCTTGAGGGATTGAAAGACCTAAGGTTGCTAGGAGTTTGTTCAGCGTCCTTCATTTTTCTTAGACTTATCATTTGTTACTTTTCTTATATTATTTATCATTGTTACTTTTTTTTTAGTTTTGATCATTTTATTGTTGTTGAGAGGCAAAAGGGATATTTAACAATGAATTAAAGCGGAATGTTGTCGTAAACCTTTACTTTCTAGACATTTTTACGTTGTCTTAGTGATTCAAAGACATAACTCAGGGTTTTGAGACAACGTCTCATCGTTTGCACTTATTGCAGTCTCATTTGTTGTTGTCTTGTCGATTTCATTGCCGCATTGGCCAGCATTATCTGCAGATTATTGTGTCGCAAGCCATAATCGTCATCATCGTCTTGGGATTACATAGTAGTGTAGCCTTTGTAGCCTGACATGTTCATCTCAGTTCCTGCTCATCTCTCGTTATAAAATGCCTTTGTACTTTGAACTGTCCTCGGTGATTGTCAGCTCGCACTTGACCTGCTCCGCGTCTGCCATTCAAATGCATTCAAGTTAATCATATTCTGATGGATGATCCTTCTACCTACTCACTGGTACTCCTTTGTGGAAGGGAAATGACATGTTAGTTGAAATTCCTCGTAGAGAAAACTGGTTTGTGATTACGCGGCTCATCCACACCATATTTGTTCAGCTTTGGTTTCTTCCACAACTCCGCAGGAAACTCAGTTACAATCCCAGGCTCAAAACCACAACCTGCACCGAAACCAATCAACTGATAGAACTCGTTACAATCCTCCCATCTCATTTCCTGCTTCGTCTTTGTCATCATGTTGCCGCCCTAATTACCTTCCTTATAATCCAGGTACTGGGTCCTATCAGTTCGTTCTTTCTTCACGGTCTCTTGCGAGCAATCGGAAGAAACAAGGGTATCTTGTTCTTGTTGCTTCTGCTGTTGGTGTTGGGTTTGATGGGCGGACTGGCGCGACATGTTGGAGGACTGCTTCTGATTGAAGACGACGTGTGCCCATTTATTGCTTGGGAAAATTTGAAATATGTCCAATTTTATAAGCCTACTTTTGAAATAGATCTAATTTTTAGTGATTTTTTACTTTTGAAATAGATCTAATTTTTAGTTACTTTGAATCCACATCAAAATACCCCTTGCTTCTTTTGTTCCTCTGCTTCACGTGCAAATTTAATCAGCATTGGTTGTGGGATCCATTTTACAACAAATTTTAACAATCCGAACAATCTATTTTGTAAGTCTTATTCATACAATTTCATCCGAAATCATTTGCTCATTAAATTGTTACTTACAATATATATATATATATATGTATGTATGTATGTATGGTGGAGCATTGGCAGCATGAACTGCGATGAATATGGGGGCATGTTCTTATCTCTCTGATTTCGGATTCCACAAGTCGATGTGGAACTTTTTTTTTTTTTTTTTTCAAATAGATTTTTTAAAATTAGATGTTAAATTAACTATTTACGAAGTTCAAACTTACGTTATTATATAAGAACTCAAGATCTTTCTACTATTGTGGTACAAGCTTACTTGCAGTCGATGAGGGATTTTGATGTTTCTGAAATTTTTGGAGGCGATTTGATTTGGGGTTTTGGCGGCAAACTTTGGAGATTCAAATCGGGTTTTGAGGCCAATTCTTATTATTTTGTTTATTTTTTATTTATAAAAGGTTCTCGTCGCTGATATGGAGAGTCCCTCCAAAGCGGGCTGGCCGGCCCAATCCTGAAAGTATCAGGTTACAACTTACGAGGGGTGCCATAATTTCTTTTTGTTTTTTTTTTATACAAGAGCTTCATGATTAAATCTTCTACACCATGTGAAATTTCTATGGCCTCGTATGACATATATTAATTTTATGATAATAAAATTAAGAAAAGATAATAAATGTATGTCAATCATTTATTAGGATCATAAAAAGGTCTATTTAATTTTGGGTGCAAAAGATTTAACCTGATTCTCAATAAGATTTTAAAGAAGTAAATTCTTTCCTACGTATTCTTTTTACGACTGAATAATTAAAATTTAACTAATTGAGATTTATTCGTGCATACTAAATATATAGAAACTTTTAGTATAATGGGAATACGAACATACTAATATTATAATACAAATAATTAAAGAAAATTGTTATTAGTATTCTAAAAATTTCATTTGACACTCTCAACTTTCTATAATGAAAGAAAAATACACTTGTTTGAAGTGTAAAATGAAAATTTTAAAATGTTAATAATAGTTTTTTAATTTTTTTTTAAAGTATATTGATATTTTTATACAAAAAATATTTTTATACAATAAAGTTGGAAAGGAATCCTCAAAGTAAACGCCGCCACCATGTCCTTGGACTCTCACATAGAGAGGGTCCTCTGGACTCCCGACCAAATCGCCGCCCGTGTTTCCGACCTCGCCGCCCAAATCTCCGCCGACTTCTCCCTCTCCTCCCTCTCCCAACCACCTGCCCTCGTAGGCGTCGCCACCGGCGCCTTTCTCTTCCTCGCCGACCTGGCCCGCCAAATCCCCCTCCCCGTCACCGTCGACTTCATCCGCGCCGAATCCTACGGCTCCGGGACCCAGTCCAATGGCGCCCCAACGATTTCCTTCGACTTGAAGGTCGACGTCACCGGCCGCCACGTCGTCCTGGTACGCCCTCCTTCCTTACCCTATTCTCTGTAAGACTACTCTGTCCACCAGTTGTAGTTGTGCATGTTATTCCTGAATGCGACGCCGTTTGGTGCGTTTTAGGTTGAGGACATTGTGGATACAGGAAGCACAATTGAGCGTCTGATTGCACACATGGAATCGAAAGGCGCTTCGTGTGTGTCGGTCTGCACATTTCTGGATAAACCATCGAGACGGAAGGTTCATTTTCAGCTTCTCAGCAACGGGAAATTCTACCGCGGTTTCGAGGTTTATATACGTTTCTTCTTTCCTCTTTTTTCCTCCTTTTTAGTCTTTAGCTGCCTTCCATTTTGAATGTTGCAAACTAGGTTACATTACTCTAAACCCTCGCATTCGATACTTGATTGATTCGGTATTTGGACTGCTTAATGCATTCTGCGAAAATGTTTACATTCCTAATAGAATATACCATCGATGCGTAATTTAGAAAATTCCGATGCATTAGCAATATATGCGTAATTTAGAAAATTCCTATTCGGCCTTTATTAGTTGTAGCTTAAAAAAGTTACAAAATCATTACCTATTTATGTGAACTTTCCTTTGTGTTGGTAGGATATCTCTAATTAAGGACTTGAATCCGACACGTTTTTCATCCCTTTTATCATGTAGAGGTGACTGAGATATTCTATGATCTAACTAACGGCTGAGAATTTATATGTTGTGGAATCATCGTATTGATTTTCCTATGTAGAACTCTTAGAAGTTGTGAAAATTGCAAGTGTCCGTCTTGTATGCCTGGGTATTGCAGATGAGCTTTTTGTATTGTTTCTGGTGTATATTTTGGGCTTTGGAAATTGACTTATCCGCTGTCAAACTTATCTGTTTATTTGTATCTGCAGTGTCCAGATTACTTTGTTGTGGGCTATGGAATGGACTTTGATGAACGTTACAGGAACTTGCCGTACATTGGTGTATTGAAGCCCGAGCTGTATAAGTGATTTGATTTTAGCTGCCACGATGAGGAAAGTAATTTATTGTGAGTGTTTGGAAGTGATCAGATATGGAGATGATTGGCGTTACTTCGGAGCATGTACTTCATTCGATATTTGAACAAGGTGTAGCTGGTTCAAATACAGGAACACGGTTACTGAATATACGATGTTTGAACAAAGTGTAGCTGGTTCAAATACATGAATCTGCTTATGGAATATATATATTTCACCATTTTAGACTACATACGTTTGCACCCATTAATTCTGCACTGACATTTCCCCTTCTTCCTAACCTTTAATGTTGTGGTATCGTGCTATGAGGGCCGGTTTTCATCTTTTCTTCTTAGGAACTGTTGACTGCTTCTTACAGAAGGAAGTATTGATTTTTACTCGAAACTGTTCTGTGTTCTTATTAATTCCCATCAAGTTATCAACGGCGGGACCACGGTGTTATTGCCTCCTACAGAAGCACTCTTAAACGGGACTTCAACTGTTCGTGCCTGTTATATTTTCCATCTCATTCTACTAATTTTCCTTACTATGTACAGGAGGTGAATAAGCTTTTGGTATATTTTTATAGGGTTTTTATCATGTTTAGTCTCTGAAATTGGACGTTCCAATCAAAATCTATCATGTTTGGTTCCTGAAAATAGGTTTTTATCATGTTTGGTTCCTGAAAATAGGTTTGCAACTCAATTTGATCATTCCGTTAGCCTTTATGTTAGTGTGCTGATATGACACACAAGTGATTCTCATGTAAAACACTTAAATTTCCTTCAACAAAAAAAGTCAAAAAGCTAATAGATGACTAAATTGATTTGCAAGACTCATCTTCAAGGTATTCCAGAGACCATTTTGATTGGAATGGTTGAGACCAATTGTGACTGTTGCCACCAAAGAAAAATTGACTAAAATAATCATAAATCAGTTCCTCAAATAATATTAACTAATCAAATATCAACGATATAATAATTAAATATTGACAATTATATACCCGAATTAGGCCGAATCGGATCACCTTGGATTGAGTTGGATTCTTGGGTACCCAAATCCGTATTGTAAATGGTGGGCTAGGACACCTTCCAACCCGCTCCATCTGGTTTCCGGGTTTATCTTGTTAGGCGACCATGTGAAGGTTTTATGGCATAGTTGATAAGTTATCCATCATTTCTGAGAGAACCATAACCAAAATTTGCATTGCAAGGAAAACGCCATGGGAGGAGTATCAAGAACTCTCCTCACTTTCTCTCTCTACTCAAACCTTTTCGCCTTGTCACGTCTCCCCGCCTCCAAACGCTTCTCTCTCATCAACCCCACCAGGGTTTTAACAAGGGTTAGGCCTCTTTGCACCGCCACAGCCACAACCACCACCGCCAGCCCCGCCGGTACGGTTGATTTCGAAGACGAAGAGAACCAACCCTTGAAGCACTCCTTGCTTCTCGAGAGGCTGCGTCTGAGGCACCTCAAGAGCAATGCCAACCCACAAGCCAAAACCGCCGGCGGAAATTCAATTGGGGATGCCCAGAGGCAGAGCGATGACGGGTTGGGGAGGTCGGAGAACAGGAAGAAGAGGGAGGTTGGGAGTTTTGGGGAGTTGGGTGTGAGCGAGGAGGTAATTGCGGCGGTGAGAGAGATGGGAATTGAGGTTCCCACTGAAATTCAGAGCATTGGGATTCCGGCGGTGTTGGAAGGGAAGACTGTGGTCTTGGGTTCTCACACTGGCTCTGGCAAGACTCTGGCTTACATGTTGCCTCTTGCCCAGGTACTTTTTCTTTGCTGCTTCTTTCAAGATTCAAATGGAACTGTTTTTCGATTACTTTTCGCTATGTGGGTCTGTTGAATTTTTGAATTTCATGCTTGTTGGAGTTGTAGTAAAGCGCTGGAATGATTAGTTGTGTTCAAACTTTATTTCGATGTGTTTTCTCACTATGTAAGCTGTAATTTACATGTGTTATCTTAGGAGCCACCTTACGTATCGGGTTGGATTGTGATTCTTTAGGTTGCTTAGATTCTACCTGCTTGTACTTTCAGCAAATTTTAGAAGCAACTCAAACAAATTCTAATAGATTAAGCTATTTATCAAGGACAAAATGGAAATCGTGTGCGAGTGTGATGCGTTATGTTGATGTTGCCTACTCTTGCCTGTGTTGTAATTTGAATTAATCAGAGGAGTGCTGATACTCTGGGAATTTTGTAGCTGTTGAGAAAGGATGAGGCTGAAAGTGGTATTCAAATGAAGCCCAGGCGTCCTAGAGCTGTTGTGCTATGCCCCACAAGGGAGCTGTCTGAGCAGGTTCTTATACATTGTTATTCAGAATTTAGAACCACCACCTGTGGACTATGCATTTTCTATTGACATCTGGTCTGTTTTGTAGGTTTTTCGTGTTTCCAAGTTTGTCAGCCACCATGCAAGATTCAGGTCTACTATGGTAAGCGGCGGTGGTCGGTTGAGACCCCAGGAGGATTCATTGAATAACCCAATTGAAATGGTAGTTGGTACCCCTGGCAGGGTTCTCCAACATATTGAGGATGGCAACTTGGTTTACGGTGACATAAAATATGTGGTATGTTTATTCGTTTATTTAGTTTTTCTATTAGAGTGTTGGTAGATAATATGGTCATATTAAGTTGTTATCTTTGATGAAGAAAAACATACCCTAGTAAGTTGTTGGTGCACTTTGTGATGTTGGTAATCGCTTATCAGGTATTGGATGAGGCAGATACCATGTTTGATCGTGGCTTTGGTCCAGACATTCGCAAGTTTCTTGTCCCATTAAAACATCGTGCATCGAAACCCGGAGGGCAAGGGTTCCAAACTGTTTTGGTCACAGCAACAATGACAAAGGTCCGGTTACTTGCATTTCATCTTATTTAACAAGAAGCTAAATTTATAAGTAGGAAAAATAGACTCCAATTGAAAGTGAATTGTTCCTTCCCCATTGTCACTAAAGGAACTCTTTGTTTCGTTGAAAAGCTTATTTGGCTTGTTTATATTTTCTCATAAAAATATAAAAGTATTTCATGAAAAATGAAATCCAGTTCGTATACTGACATTACTCTACAGCTATATTTGTATTTCTTTCTGATATTTTTGGGTTTCAATACCTATTAATTTATTCTTACAGGACCAAGTTTAACTATGTAATTTTACTTTATCATACTACCAAATAAGGGCCAGGTTTAGGAATGGGCCAAGCTAACCAATGAGCTGAGCCGAGCCGAGCTAAAACCTTTGAAAAATTATTCAAACTTAGGCTGAACATCTTGATACTCGGCTCGGATTGGCTTTTTTACACTCCTATGACATATAATAATAGAGTTATCCTCTGAACATATCTCTTAGTTGAGCTGTTGGAATTTTTCAAATGATCGCTTATGACAATGTTATATACCTTTGACAATTGTAATCTGGATAATATCTTGTGCACAAATTGTATCTTCTATGAAGTCAGTCACTTGACCCTTATGATATTTTTCAGGCAGTGCAAAACCTGATTGATGAGGAGTTCCAAGGAATATTACACTTGCGCACATCCTCACTGCATAAAAAGATTGCATCCGCACGTCATGATTTTGTTAAGATTTCAGGTGCTGAGAACAAGCTGGAATCACTTCTACAGGTCTAATTCTGTGATACCCTTTTTCTTTTAGCGCTTTACTTCTCAAGTAGTGGTTATGTCTCACGATGCCTAACATGTACGGTGGCCATAAAGTTAATCTAGCTTAAGTGGTTGCTAAACGCATGGTGGTAACTGAAACGAATCAGGGAATTGTGCTGACAGAGGGGTACTGTGGGGGTATTGAGGAGAGAGAAAGAGGGGGAAGTTGTGTGTGGGAGTGATTTTCCAATTTTACCCTCAATTTGGCAGCAAAAGGGATGGAATTAATGGTAAGGATAAGATTGATGCATGCCATGTAAGAGTGGGGAAGATATTGATCGAATTGAAAGAACAGGGACTAAAATGCGGGAAGTTATTTTATCAATATTGGCTTTTATGCATTTCATCTTGGCTTACCGATGAAGGTTTTCTACATGAATAGAGCATGGCTTGATATTGCAGCGGTCTAACAATAAAATATTTATGTGGATTTTGTGGTAAATGCAGGTTCTGGAGCCAAGTTTAGCAAAGGGAAATAGAGTAATGGTGTTCTGTAACACATTAAGTTCCAGCCGTGCTGTGGATCACTTTCTCAATGAAAATCAGATCTCTACTGTCAATTATCATGGTGAGGTGCCAGCAGAACAAAGGTGAGACAATAAAAAGTACTCTCTCTCTCTCATAATACCCTTGTACTTGTATTGTCTGCACATTGTCACTTTAGAAAGAGTCCATACTGTTTTTTTTTTTTTTTTTTTTTTTTTGCTGTTCATGCTACAAGCATGAGTTTTTATCTGTTGCTTTCATTTTGTTTTAGTAGAGTTTGGTTGTTTTTATCAATACAAAGTCAAAGTTTAAGCTGTCTGAATTTTGGTTTCATTTTTCTCTTATTTTCCTCCTTTCATTCCCCTTTTTATGTTAAAAGCATCCATATACATCTAAAAAATCTGTTTTCTTGCTATACAGTTTGGAAACATAGTGTACTGTGAATCTGGAACATTGATTAGTTTCCTTCTTGCCTGAATGTGTGGCCCAGACACACAAGTGCATACAATTTCATATACACACTTAAAATTAATGTACATCACTAGTGTTCAGTAGTAGTGCTTAGCTTGACGGCTTTCTTCTAACAACTCATACAGGGTTGAAAACCTCAAAAAGTTTAAGAGCAACGATGGAGATTGCCCTACATTGGTCTGCACAGACCTGGCTGCAAGGGGACTGGACTTGGATGTAGACCATGTTATAATGTTTGATTTTCCTTTGAACTCTGTAAGCATCAGATATCTGCTCTGCGTTTCAGTGTTAAATAAGGTGCTATTGTATGTAGGACTTCTATATCTTTCCTTTTTCTTCTTTGGAAGCTAACCTTCACCCTTATTTGACCGTTAGATTGACTACCTTCATCGTACAGGAAGAACTGCTCGTATGGGTGCAAAAGGTACACATTCATTTTCTGTTTGCATTTTTATTTAGTTTCCTTCTTAGAATTACAAGGGAATGCACATCTCTACCACACTTGGGTGAGTCTTTTTTCCTATTTGTGCTTGAATCTACCAATTGCATCCACAAGATTTTGAATCGATTGAAGATGAGGAATCTTAACATGATTTTGCATCCACAAGATTTTGAATCGATCGAAGATGAGGAATCTTAACATGATATTGAATAAATAAAACAAGGAAATTATTGACAGTATTCCATTGTAAGATTAGTTTTCATTTACATAATACAACAAAGAGGAAAAGGAAAGGAATAAGAAACCACACATCTTATGTAAATTCTCGAGTGCTCCCCTTTCCGAAGGGCCACAAGACTTTCTGTATCTGTATCTCTCAAAGATTGAATATACGTTGGAGCAATTCTCATAGTTTGTGACAATCAATTTTTTATTTCTTTGTTTGGTTACACTTCATGCTTTAGACTTCAGTGTAATAATCTCAAAATCAAATAATTCTTGTAATGCAGGGAAAGTGACGAGTTTGGTTGCTAAGAAGAACCTCATGTTAGCGAACCGAATTGAGGAAGCAATAAAGAAGAATGAAAGCTTAGAATCTCTCAGTGTAGATAGCGTCAAGAGGGACATTGCCCGTTCGCGAATTACTCCGCAGAATGGAAAGAATGTAAAACCGGTGAGAGTCTCAAATCAGAAAAACAAGAGCAGACCAGCATTTGCTCCTACAAAATCTGCAAAACCATCTTTCCAGTCATCGAAGTCAGTAGAACCTTCCAGAGCGAGCAGCTTGAAAAGAGCTCCTTCCAGTGCTAGCAACTCAAGAAAAGCTCCTTCCAGTGCAAACAGCTCTAGAAAAGCCTCTTTTAGTGAGAAGAGGCAACCAGAAAGCAGAAGATTCAGTACAGTTAAATCAACGCCCTCGAAGTTGAGTGTGGTTGGGTTTAGGGGGCGAGCTTCTTGGTCTAGTAAGAAAGAATCGTTGGAGTCGAGCTGATTGTAGACAAAATTTTAGATATAAACTTTCTTGTAATATTTAAATCTTGAAAGTTCTTTGCCAAAAAAAAATGTTGGCAGTCTTGCCGTGGTTCTCGATATCAAGAGCAGGCCAGAATCCCTGAAAATCGCCCATTGTGTTATAAGTTGTCACGTAATACATCGATATCACTGGTTTGAAAGACAAGGAAAGAAAAGAAAAAAGGAGTTATTGATGACGCCGGAGGTTTTGGAAGCCTTGTTTACTTCCAGGTTAAACGAGGAGTCTTGTCAGGCTTGACGATGTTGCCCTCAGCGTCGTAGATTATGACACCCGAAAAATCTGGTAGCTGGCACTTTCCACCCATGAGTATGTTCTTCTGCCAGACCGAGTCTTCTTCCTGCTCATCACTACTTGCATCATAGTTTCCAGGCTGAACATGTTGGACAACAGGACCATCGTCAAAGAAGTCTGTGCAAGCATTCCACTGGCGGCGCCATCTACGCGAATGAGAAGCACACATGAGCAACGCCACGGCACAAAATGCGAGGGTCATCGCTGCCAGACCGGCTTGAAATGTGGTCGGTAGGGAGAGTGCCGAAAGAAGCTTGCGAGCCATGTTGAAGTTGAGGATGGAATTTGGGTATGGAGTTGCTATTGTCTCACAGTTTTATATAGGGCAATAGGAGAAGAGTAGAGTAGTTGAAATTGGAGGATCTGTTAGGGTTTATATGTTGTGTGGTTTTGGTAATCTTTTGACCTCCACTGTTCGTTGATATTTTGGTGAGTTTAGGTAACAAACTCATCTACTAAACTTTGTTGTTTTGGTAATTTTAATTTAAAGATTTGGTTACGATATTTATATGTATTTAATGTTTAGGGTTAGGGTCTAGGGTTTAATACAATCACCATGTATACTTATAGCCATAGGGTTTAAAACGCTACAGGTCAATTAATATATTAAGGGGAAATGCTAGCGAAATTTCCATTTGATCTCGACTCTAAATTTTCTTTTGGAAATTTTCACAATTATCCAAATCGATTATTTTTTATGTCAATTTTTAAAGACCAGTTTTGAGAAAATTAAATCGACTTGAAATTGTTTAGTTATCTTATCGTTTGGTCTTATAAGGCTTAATCCAAGCCGAGCCAATTCAACTTAGTGTTTGAAACTGGTCTAGTCTAAAACAACAATTGGTAACATGACTTATTAGTCGAAATGTCCCCTGAAGCTACCATTGAGTCTCAGTTTACCCTCTGAAACTAATTTTGTCTCATTTTGCCCCCTGAAACTGATATTTTCAACTGTTTTGTCTCACTTTACCCATTTTTTTTAATAGACTGTTAAATTTAAGGGTATTTTAGACATTTCAATTTTAACACATTTACTTACCTCTAGCCTACACACTAAACAAGTCTCAATTTTATTTTTGACAACTCTAATTCAAACTCATAAATTTTGGGCATTTTTAAAATAAATTATTCAATCAATAGAAAAAATCTGATAAACAAAATCATTGTATCAACCAAAATAAGGGTTACATTTGTTCGTAGAGTCATTTCACTTGCAAGACATCCATGTTTTGCCTCGAAACTTTGCAATTGAAAATTATTCATTACAACAAAATCATTATACCATTAAGCTATCATATCCAAAATACTTTCCAAACAAAAAAAAAAATCATTTAAAGCAAATGTGCACAGTTTGAAACAAAAAATTGACATTGTTAAGCACTGATTCCGCTAGGCATGAGCTTGTTCAAACTCTGCACATTTGCTTTAAATGAATTTTTTGGTTTGGGAAGTATTTTGGGTAGGATAGCTTAATGGTATAATAATTTTATTGTTGTAATGAACATTGTTCAATTACAAAGTTTTGAGCTAATACATGTATGTCTTGCAAGTGAAATGACTCTACGAACAAATATAACCCTTATTTTGGTTGATACAATGATTTTGTTGCTCAGAATTTTTCTATTGATTGAATAATTTATTTTTTAAAATGCCTTAAATTTATGCATTTGAATTAGAGTTGTCAAAAAAAAAAAAAGAGTCTTGTTTAGTGTGTAGGTTAGAGGTAAATAAATGTGTAAAAACTAAAATGTCTAAAATACCCTTAAATTTAACAATCCATCAACGAAAGTGGGTAAAGTGAGATAAAAGAGTTGAAAATATTAGTTTCAGGAGGCAAAGTGAGACAAAACTAGTTTCAAGGGGGTAAACTGAGACTCAATGACAGTTTCAGAGGACATTTTGACTAATAAGCCTTGGTAACATTAACAACCAGGACCCACCACTAGTAACAAATTTTACTAAAGGTTTCTAATTTTCCTTTCATAGTACGTACCACTGAGTGATTCAAAACTCGATAAAATATTTCATATAGACATATAATAAATCTTTATAACAAGAACAAATTTTGTATGGTACATAGTATTGGAAAAGGGATCCTCTCCGAATCCCTTCCACCAAATCCACCCAATCACCTAATTCGGGCTCTTGAAATTTGATCAAAAGGCTAAAGTTATTATAACTTTTAAAGAGGCCTCCTGTTTGTAGCCGTTGGATCAAATTTCAAGGATCCGGATTGATTGATTGAGGTAGATTTGGGGAAAGGATCCGGAGAGAGGATCCCTTTCCATACTATTGTAACCTCGTAGCTGGGCCTTTCATCAAATTTTCAAGTATCCCAAATGCGCCAAATTTAGATCTGATATTAAAACAGTTTAGGGTTTAGGGTATTCCGGAGCACTCGGGAGAGCAACAATGAATCATCAACGTTCACAAATTGCGCTTTGCAAATGGCTCTTCCAGCACTCTTTCCACCCTTCTCCGAAGCTCTTCTCCCTCAACTCGCTCTCGACGAGTCCTACTCGGCGCGTTTCCGACTCAGCTCCATTGCCGGAACCCGAGATTCTTCTCAACACACCCACAACAACTCCCCACCATTTTCTCCATCCAGCTCTCTCGAACTCACCGACCCAGTTCGCAGCTCGCCGGAATGTGAGGCAATTCAGCGGCGGGCCGGAGGAGTTCGATCAGAACCAAGTGGTGGACACGATCAACCTCAAGTTTGCAGAGGCGAGGGAGGAGATAGAGATGGCCATGGAGTCCAAAGAAACTGTTTACTTTGACGAAGAGGCCGAGTGCGCTCGAGATTCTGTGAAGGAAGTGCTGGAATTGTATGAAGGTCTTTTGGCTAAGGTGCCAGAGAGCAATAAGGCGGCGTTGCAGAGGTCGATGGGGCTCAAGATTGAGCAGCTCAAGGCTGAGCTTCAACAGCTGAATGAGTGAAATTAAGGTTGGTGAATTTGGGGTTTTTCCCTTTTCGTCTTATTTCGATGAATTTTCGGTAATGCTTTGATTTAGGTGTTTCTCATTTTATTCCCTTTTAGGAATATTTAGTCAAAGAATTAGTGACAGTAGAAATTAGGGATGAATATTTGAATAAAGTGGAAATTGGTGTACTCTGTAGTTTATGCTCTGAATTGCATTCCTGCGAATCGTCCCGCGGTCTGTTAAATTTCTTGAATTCTTATATAACAATGCCTGTAGTTATATCTTTCCTTTTTTTTATATGTTTTTGAGATACAATTCTTACTTGATATTGGGGTTTAAGTTGTGGGAGATTTTGACCCCTAAAAAATAGAGTTGTAATGCGATGTTACCTTGTAGTGAGATCCGCCCGTAGGCAATATTAGTTTCTGTCAATCGAATGCCCGATAAAATTAACAAGTCAGACGGATCTTGTATAAGAGACATGTAATGCAACAGGAAGAGAATAAAAAAGATGTAGAAAATTAGTCGCCTAATGAATGCGCAAATCAGGCCAAAAGAAATAGGGGGAAAGAACAAGCCACAAATAAAAGATTTGTTTCTTTTCTTTCTTCTAAATGGAGCCATTGCCTTGGCCAAACTGGGAAGTGAACCGTTTATAGTCTACCATTTATGTATGAAATGATACTTTTCAGCCAGAAGTAAATGGTTTGAAGTCATACCTTTACAGTCTCTGCTACTTAGGAGCCATTCTACAACCTACTACATACTTGGGTGGATGTTCACAACGATACCACTAGTGATCACTATGCAGAAGAACAATTTTAGAGCATCATTTAGTACATCAATTAGTACTGATTTTTAGGTGAGGGATTTGCAAGTACCAAGGGATTTGGGAGCAAAATCAAAGTAGAATTAATAATTAGAAGGCAATCTTCGCAAGGTACCGGAGAGTGTGGACAATTGTCTAAGACTCTAAGACTATGTTTGGGTGAGGGATTTGCAAGTGCCAAGGTTTTTGGGCTAAATATAGTTATAAATGGACTACAAAAGATTAGATGGAGAGATTAGAAATGCAGCACATGATCATTGCAAAAGACGTATGATTTACAAATTACTCCTTTCAAGTAGTCATTTACAAGTCCTCTTAATGCATTGTATCCACTCATTTCAAATCCCTCCCACCTTTTTGTATTTCATTTCTAACTATTTTTAGCCCAAATCTCTTGGTACTTGCACATCCCTCATCCAAACATATTGTTTATTAGCTCATATTCAGGGCTTGTGAGGGGGCCAAACCCTTGCAGATTCTTATCCTACTCCAACATAGTAGCCAAGTATGAGAGAACTCGACAAAAAAAGCACCCTCATCCAAAGATTAGAATTCCGCTCTATGCACTGCTGTTACTTATACTAACCTCTGATTGATTACCATGCAAATGGAGAAGAAATGAAAGTCTCGTCTCGACACAATTTGAGAAATTTATAGAGAAGGAAGTTAACTCTATTACCAAAAAGAAAAATACACAAACACAGATAGGTCTAATTTTAAGAACAACAAACCTGTTTGCTTGGTAGTTTGGTGAAATTTGAACTTTCCTGCTCAGTAATAGATGATCCAAGAGCTTAAATGGTTGATTATCATTTTGCTAAAATCATTTTGTGATTCGAACATGACACATGCATTAATGAGATTTGGAGTTATTTTGGGCCTGCCAAGCTGAGGATTTTACTTTATTAGGATTTAAAACTTATTTATTCTTTCTCACTTATTGTTGTAGTATTTGATTAATTTCAGGTCCTTTGTTCATTTGGCAATGTCTATGGGCCTTATTTTGATAGGTTTTCAGACGTCAAGCATTTTGTTTGAGCATGTAGATAGAGTTTATGCGTTCTGTATCTCTCCCTCTCTCACTCACCCACCCATATACGTTTCTCCTTCTCTTATGGAATCTATGTTCTCTCCTTTCATTTATTATCCTCACTGATGTCCGACTTTCTGTTGTCCTTTGCTTTCAGAAGTTAGGACCCACAAGTGTAGAATAGAAGAGAGCAAAACAAGGTGGAGAAAGAAAGCAATGGGGAACAAGTATGGCGAAGAAATCAGTTTCCAGAAGAGGACATAGTTTCTCATGTGGTGGGAATGGGGGGATATCTAAATTCGTCCTTGGAACTACTGTACGGTGGCCTCCCAATTTGTGGAGGCACCGAAATTTGAATGTATCCTTGCTCCTCCACCTTGACGATTTTTGGTGTGCCATTATGTCTTTCCATGTCCTAAATATAGATATTTCTTTATCTTCCTTGTTGGTTTATTGAAAATGAAGCTTTAAACGGAAGGAGAACCCTTGGGGCGGTGGCTCTTCTGCAATTGTTTGTTTTTATCTTCTAGATGCTATTAGCTATGTGTGTGCTGAGCGTTAGCTCTTTAACTCGAATGATAAATTTAGCATTGTATCCTACTTGTGCTGATGAATCTAAATGATGGATTTGATGCCGTGATCAGTTCAGACATGGCATGAGGCTGAGTTGAGTTGATGGATACCTCAGATCATGATCTTTCTGGAAGAGTGGACACACCATGTTATCTGCAGTTCTTGTGCAACATTTCGAGAAAAAGTAACGAAACAAATAATGCAGTCGACAATTGAAGTCTTGCATTGTTTGTGGTAGGTACTGCTCTTGCTTCTCTGGTGGTCCTTTGGCCATGAGGTTCGACTTGATCTGATGAAAACTTCTCAGGTGGATTCTTTTGGAACACTAGACCAAGCATGTTATCTGTAGTTCTTGTGGTGGTACCACTTTGCAATACCTTTCAGATAATAGTAGTGAGATATATACTGTGTTTGTGGTATGCTGCATGCACTGCACTTGCTCAAATATTTTTCTCAATATCTTATAGATTCAATCAAATGTAAGACCTTGGGTGCATGAATAATTTTAGTGCTAGATATACTAATTGATGCGCCAGCGTTTCATTTGTTTTTTGTCTGGACCCACTTTCAGACCTATTTCAACCCAAATAACCAAAAGTTGGTGTAACGAGTTTGTCAATTGTTATTTCACGAGCAAACGCTCGTACCCATTTGAAGAAATTAGACAGATTAGTTAATATCCTAATATCTTGTGGAATTAGAAGGAATAACGTTTCATTAATGACTAATCCATCTACTCTCAAAAATTTCAAAGTTAATCTTTATTTCATCAGCACACAATTAATATAGCGAGTTATCCAGTCAATCAGATCCTCGTGTTCCAAACTCGACGGTTTTGTTTCTGTGCCCAACGGCAAAACAGAAGCTGTGTTCAAGAATACAAGGATGAAAACATGGAGGCACACACACATATTAAATCTGCTGTGCAACCACCTTTCTTTTCTGGGTTGTATTTTTGGCCATAATATCCGGATTGAGAAGATTTGACTTAGAAGACCACCAAAGACAAGTCTAACTAAACAATGAAAGACGGAATTTGATCATCATATTGACTATTCTGCTTTGAACCATCCATCTTTATAATAGCATCCACTAGTACTGTCCCAATTTAGCGGTATTTTCTCTAATTTTAAGTGAGATATTTTAGGTTACAATTTTCATAGATGACGAATTCGACATCAAATTATTATAATTGGCGTACTGTGTGAAATGACCCTAATTTCTCGCTCAATGTAAATTATTGTTATATATGAAAAGGGTAGTGCTATCCACACTCATTTTTTACTTCTCACATATCACTCAATTTTCGGTTGTCGGATCGAATCAATTGAAGAATATTAATGACCACATAATTAACAAGGATGTATAAAAAATAAAAAATAAACATATGAATAACAGTATCCATATTAAAAAATATTCAAAAGGGCATGGACCAAAACAAGGTGGAAGAAAATAGAGAGGCATGGGGGACAAATCTTGTGTCTGCTTAAGCATGTGGGGAAGCATGCCCTGTTTCTCTGTCTCTGCTTTTACACTGCAATTCAGCCTAAGGGCAATGGCATAGTTCTAGTGCAAGTTGTGGGGCATCTGCTTTCCATTTTTCCTTCCTAGCCTCCCATGTTTCTGATATTGTTTGCCATATGTGACAGATTTGGAAAACGATCCTCGCCGGATCATTTTCTTAGGGATTCCGTGATCATGACCGTTTATCGTATATCGTGTGATTATTTTTCGTTAGGTACTATTTATATTTAATTTTAAAATTTAAATTTTGAAATGATTTCTGACTGTACAATCTGTGATGAACGGTCACGGTCACGATCACGGGATCCCTAGGATCATTTTCCGACAAATTTTCTCTCAATCGATTTTCATACTCCATTTTCTTTTCTCGCACTCCTTGTACGCTCTCATTTTAGTAAAGATTGAATGAATCAACGAAGAATCATTGAAAAATTCATAACAAAACAAAAGAAAATGAGTGTATACGCAGAAAACGGATGTGAAAATCATTACCCTTTTTCTTTTCTATTGTTTGAAGCTGAGAATTTGATCTCCATACAAAATAGAATTATTCAATTTAGGCTCAATAAGATTTTAGGGCTGATAAAAATTAGTGAACATAGATGTTATATGATATACCCTCTTTATCGTAATAAGCGTACTTGTTAAACGTAGTGTGTAGTATTTCTCTTTCCAATGTTGAAAAATCCCTCGAGTTTAAATTTCCCTCCGCCGTTGATTATGAGAAGAAAAAAGCCATAGGAATGAAAGCATGTTAAAAAAATTAAAGCAAGAAAAGCAGGGGGAAGTGTGATTTGAAGCATTTAACCAGATTAACGTCTCAAAACTGTACAAGAAACCTAAAGCCATCACCATTCAAAACCATGAATCCCTCGCTGATATTGTTCTAGAAAATTAATCACTAAAATTGTCCTTGGAAGGTTTAGAAAAGGGATTAAAACCCATTAACTTTGATTTGAAGGTTGCTTTATTAGGGGTTGGGAGGTTTTTCCCCCCTCTTCAGGCTGGCTCTTAACCTCCATTAGCAATGCCACCACTTCCTTCATGGTTGGTCGTTCTGCCGGCGAAGAATTCACACAGAACATTGCTATTCCAAGTGTTTGCAGCATCTCCTGCACCATTTGATCTGGTAGACCTTGGAGCTTTGTATCTAGTATCGATACAGCTGGTTCGAAACTTCCCATCTTCTTCTTCACCCATTCAACAATGTGTAGCACGTCACCAATCTGCGGCTGAACAGCGCTACGCCCACTTAAGATCTCCAGCAGAACCACACCATAGCTGTAGACGTCACTCTTCTCCGTTATGTTCATCGTGTATCCGTACTCTGCATTCGTAATGGATTGAGATTATCAGTTGAACAAGATTGTGACACATAAATACGTTCATAAAACGTATGTGACAACTAGTCAGAAAAAAAAAATGAAGTAGCTAGTTTTACCTGGGGCAATATAACCATAAGAGCCAGCTACTCTCGACATTGCGTGGTGGTAAGTAGGAGAGTTCATCAGCTTTGCCAGACCAAAATCTGCTAGATAGGCTTCATACTTTGAATCCAGTAGTATGTTGTTGCACTTGACATCCCTGTGCAGAATCGTCGGGACACAATCGTGATGAAGGTATGCTAAACCTTGAGCTGATCCAATTGCAATCTTGTACCGAGTTTCCCAGTCCAAGTTCCTATTCCCTTGCAATAGCTGCTGCAGATTGCCATTGGGAATGTAGTTATAAAGAAGCAGCTTGACACTTCTATTCGAACAGTAACCTAGGAGCTTCACAATGTTCCGATGGCGAATGTGTCCAAGAATTTGAATTTCTGCAGCAAAAGAGTCTATTGGCTCTTCATCTTGCTTCGTTTTCCATAGCTTTTTCACCGCAATCAAATCCCCATTGTGTAATTCGGCCTTATAGACGATTCCAGAACAGCCTTTTCCAATCACATTTTCCTCCTTCAAACAATCCAAGATGTTATCAATGGTGAAATTGAGCTTCTGAAATGGGATGAAAGTCCATGGATACGAGAAATCTTCAGCCCCCGACGACGCTGCCATTGCTCCTAAAGATTTCTTTACCATATATCTATGATTTCGCATAATAAGAACCCACGAGGCAACAAGTGCTATGGTGACTGACACCAGAATCACAGTAATTAAAGCAACAGTTTTTGTGGATTTCAAACCATTCTTCCGCATTAGACTTGAAGAACAAGTAGTCCCATCAACAGACTCACAAAGATGTGGATTCTGAACATATGAATTCGAAGAAAGAGTTCTGAAAAATGGCGTAACTGGGATGGCACCTGAAAAATTGTTGCAGGAAATATTTAGGGACGCGAGACTAGTTAGAGAACCAAGAACCTTAATTTTTCCATAGAGCATATTATGCGAAAGGTCCAGCGATTGCAATTGCGTCAAATCTGCCATTGTCTCTGGGATTTCTCCAGTAAAACTATTCCAGCTCAAGTCCAAACTGATTGTCAAGCTTGTCACACGACCAATTTCGGGTGGAATTGGACCGGAGAGGCTGTTGAAGCTCAAATCTAGCAGAGTTAGCTTCTGCAGGTTCCGGATAGATATTGGTATCGAACCCGTGAGTAAATTATTGTTCGCAATGAGCTTGTTCAGGTAACTTAAGTTGCCAAAGCTCCAAGGAATTTCTCCAGTGAAGCTGTTCCTGCTCAGATCAAACTGCTCCAAATTCACAAGCTCCCCAAGCTGAGGCGGGATTTCGCCACTTATATAGTTGTTGTGCACATCCAACAGTTCAAGAACTGTTATGTTGGCAATCTCAGTTGGCAATCTTCCGGAGAAATGATTCATGTACAAGTCGAGAAACACGAGGTTTTGCAGCTGGCCTATTTCCTTTGGAATCTGTCCCGAAAGCTGGTTCTCTCCAAACCTCAACCTGACTAGAGATTGACATTGTGCAACGCTTCGAGGCAACCCACCCGACAAAGAATTCCCCAACAGCAAGAGCTTGCTCAGCTTCTTCAATCCAAAAATCTCTTCTGGGATCGACCCGGTAAGCTTGTTTCTTGAAAGATCAAGTGCATAGAGTTCAGTGCAGTTGCCAAATGAAGCCGGTATAGTTCCCGATACAGAATTACCCCACAAGAAAAAACTCTGCAAGAGCTTGAGATTGCCAACCTGCCAAGGAATTGTACCTGACAATTGGTTCTTGTCAAGCTGAAGAGCTGTGAGGCTGGTGCAGTTGCTGAGCTGGGATGGAATTGCTCCAGTGAGCAAATTGTCGGAGAGATGAAGCTGTTCAAGAACCACCAGCTTCCCCAAGTCTCTTGGGATTGGTCCAGAGAGATCATTGGCAGAAGCATCAAGAACAACAAGGGAAGAACAATTTGAAATCTCAGCTGGGATTGGTCCTGATAATGCATTGCCCCAAACAAGCAGGCTGGTGAGCTTCTGCAGTTTCCCCAATTGTGGAGGAATCGAACCAGTAAGCTTGTTCATATGCAAATACAAATTCCTCAGCTCTGAACAATGCCCGAGTTGCGGTGGTATTGAGCCAGATATCTCAGTATCATATAGA